ATGAAATATTTATTAATAGTTGATGAGTTAGGACAGAGAACCTCTGTCTCGATGTTGAGATGCGCAAATGATTTGTGTCTTCGGTTGAATTTGTATTTGTATTTTATACCTTTTCATTTGATGAATTTAGAATTTTTTTTAGCATGAACTACACTCATAAAACATTATCAATAAATTAATATGAAATGGGGTTTCAGTAATGATGTGTTAATAATTTTAGTACCTGAACGATACTTTTTATTGTGTAGTGAATCCTGAAAAAATATTTTTACTTTTATTTTATACCTCAAAAGGAAAATATAGCAGAATCAATTGTGTACCTGTAGGTCTAGAAGAAGAAGGTATTCAAGAAATTGGACATAGAAACAAGTTGGGCCAAGCAGATTATAAGTAGCGTACAATAGATCTTCTTAATTGCAATTGCAAGCCTATTCTTTCTGATAAAGAGAGGCTTGATTGATGGATATTTCCTGAAAGAAAAAACATGATTCAAATGTGATCACTAGGAGACATACGCTTCTATATTAATTTACTTGAAGTGCCTAAAAAAAAAAGGAGACTTCACAAGATTATCAATTAAGAAGCTATAAATTAATTAGGGAAAATCAAACAGCAGTACAATGAAGAATCTAACAATTCTTTTAAAAACTAAAAATAAGAATCTCACAAGAAAAAAATGAAGTAAAAAAATGTCTTAAAATTATATATATATGTTGTTTAAATGAAATTTCTATTAAAAAATTATTTTAATTAATTCGATTTAGGGTAGATAAATGTTTTCAAAATAATAATTCCAAAAACAAGGAGTAAAAATCTAGGGTATGAGATTATTACATTTAAGAAAATTATTTATTTATTTAGATATAAAAAAGTACATGCTTTTTCATGTAATACTTCAAAGCGAACATAATCGATGGAACTGCAAACTTGTAAGTCTAGAAGATGGTATTGAAGAAATTAGACACTGAGAAACAAATTAAGCCTAAAAAATTAAAAAATAGCAAACAATAGATAAATGTTGATGGATATTTCTTTTAAAAAAACATAATTCAAATATGATCATTAATTAGGTAACGAACACTTCTATATTACACTTCTATATTAATTTATTTGAAGTGACTTCGACAAAAAAAACTTACTTGAAGTAACCAGTGACCATAAAAATAAAAATAAAAAAATGGGAAGAGAGAGAGACCTCAAATGGAATATCAATTAAAATGAGAATATGAAAAAAAAGAATCAAGAAAACATAAACTAAATCAACAATATGGTCATGAATTACTCTATAAGAATCACTGAGATATATATCTAAGAAAACAGACATAGATAGATTGTGTACTTACATGCAGGAGTAGCAGAAGAAATAGGTAAAGTTAGACACTAATAACCAACTTGGGCCGAGCAAAGTAAATTACTAGAAGTAGCAGCAGGTTCAACTTCTGATGCGAGGGGTTGATAAGACAACTAAGGAAAAGAAACAACTTAAATAGGCACTAGGTAATAGCAGGGTGCATTTCGTGGAAGATGCTTAGCAAATGGAAGTGAAATCAAGAATAGAATGTATCAAAAAGAAAGACTTT